TACCCTGTGTGTGGAGGGGGTGGGGATGATTCTTGCTGTAAGGACTTGTTCCCTCTTTTGAGCTACTGCTTCCATAGGTATAGGTCAAGTTCATCAAATTGTATGAGAATACTTTTTTTTTTTTTTTCCTCTTCTTTTTACTTCTGGTTGAGCTGTGATCATCCAGTCACTGAAGCCAGGATAAGTGGGTATTATCTGCAAGTGTGGGTGTTCTTATGCATAAGCCCTCTCTTCTTATCAGCTGGATGCTTCACTCTCCACTCTAGTCCTCTGTGGCTATGTCACTGACTCTGGGCCCAAGAGTCCCCAGGTCTTGCCACGCTGCTGGCTAACCAGGTCTTCACCCGGGTTCACAGAAGTCTATTGAACGTTGTAGGGCTTAATTCACCGCTTCATGCTGTTTTTCCCTCACTTCACTTATCGGTGTCGAGCGTGGTCACCAATCAGAGCGTGTGTTCCCGTTGATTCTTAGTCTTGGAAGGGGGTTTGCACCCAACCACTTGCCTTGATGTTTCTTGGGTGAGCAAGTTGCTTGTTCTTGTAGTAACCGTCAGTCTGCCTATGTTGTTTTGTATTTTTCCTGTAGGTCTTTCTTTCAAGAAGTATCTTCTGTTCTTCTAGCCACTCCAGGTTGGTGTTCTTGTCCTTTCAAGTGGGAATTCCCCATCTCTGGAGATCTGGATGTGGTTCAGGCTTCCACCTATAGTCTTATGTATTGCAGAGGCTCCGCAGGAAGCCTCCTTCACTGGGCACGTTATAGCCCCATTTTAGGTATTCCAATCAGTTATAGGCAGAAGACGGACTTACAAGCTTTCTATGGTGATGCTTTTTTGCTATTCCTTTCTCTCCCCCTCCAGTGTCTATTTTATTATATAATGCAAGGAAAACCAAGATTCAAAAGCCAGCCAAGCATCTTAATATTATTTCCCCCTTTTCCACATTCCAACCATGGCTCGATCCATTTTTGTATTTTTTTATAAACCTAGTTTTGGGATATATGACTTAAATTAAAAACAAATGGAACTAAACTAACTAAAATGTCTTGTTTGTTTTCTTTTAGGAGAAAGAAACTAAGGAAACACAGTGATACCAAGAATTATTCACTATGCAGTTTGCCGGGTACGTCTCGAAGTTGCAACAGATTCCCCCTTACAGTACATAAGCCACATCTTAGCATTTGGCACAGATGTTCAAAATGGTGTTTGGGTTTTGCAAGATACTCAGCCCATAATGCACATGATTGTAGGACTAGACAGTGTTCAAACCTTTTGAAAGGTGTTTAATAACAAGGATTGTTTTCCCTACCAACTTTCTGTTACTCATAATGTCCTATTCTTAGGTATATAATTTAGTTGTTATTTCATAGACTAAAAGGGATACTGTACAAAAAGTAAATTCTTTGATAGTACAAGTGATTAGTTATTTTACTACAGAGTACTTTGTAGTTATGAAGAGACCCTATTAGGTTCTTTCCCATGAGCTCCCTAGTAGATAGAAAATGCTTTCATTGTGCCTCTGTGCTGGCATAGCTCTGGGAAGAGAAATGGTGGTAATAGTGATTCTCTTTGGGGATCTAGGACCCTGAGAAAAAGATTTTCTCATGTATTACTCTTGTAATTAAATAGTATTAATTAAAAGCCCCAACTCTGATATGTTTATAAAAATCTGATTCATATGTTGCTTGCTAGGAACATATCTAAACTAAAGTGATACATGAAAAGAACGAAGATTATACGCGAGGGGCCTTCACTAAGTTTGTAGAAAATGGAATTGAAAGATAATGGGATTTTTCCCCCTCATATAATTTGAGGGTGACCTAAGGAAGTCTGTTTTGAAAGCTCAGGTTGCATCTGCAAGCTCATGTAACAGAAACAGTCCAGACTTAAGAAGAAATTTAAGAATAATTACTGCCCTGGTAATTAATTGAAGCTAAAAATTTAAGAGCGTTTTCTGCCCAGTGGGGTTAGCCTACAATTTTTAGTTTTGAAAATTAAATATACCTGAACTAAACTTTCTTTTCTGACAATGTTTTCTGCTATTCAAGGAGCCAGAGTGCTCCTTGGAGGCCAGGATGGCTAAGCTTTGTCTCTCCTCCTTTGGACACATTGTCCGGAGGAAACAGTCGCTGGAGAAGGATGTCATGCTGGGTAAGGAGGAAGGTCAGAGAAAAAGAGGAAAACCCGTATCGAGATGGATTGGCTAGGTGGCATCATTGATGGACTCAAGTGTGGCAGCGGTAGTGAGGTTGGCCCAGGATCAGACATTGTTTCATTCTGCTGTGCATGGGGTCGCTATGAGTTGGTTCCGACTCAATGGCACCTGACAACAACAACAACAAACTTTCTTTTGAGTAATTGCTAACCAAATAAGGCAGAGTCTTTCTTTCCATTTGGATTTTCTCGTTAATCTTACCACTGACATTATTAGCTCAGATGACAAGACGAATATAAAGCGTAGAAGAAGTCTGCTTTTATCTCACCACCTGTAAATCGTATTGGCTTCTTATTTGTAAATCTTAATAGAAAAATAATTGATAATTTTGTTTTGGTTCTGAAATCAGTTTGCAGAAAGGTTATAGCATAGTAGTTAAAAGCACAGACTGGTGTCAGACAGCCCTGGGTTTGAATTCCAGCTGTTATAATTTGGCCTTGTGGTTGAGGCCACGCTACTTAATATCCCAGCGTCTCACAATGGGGCTAATAAGCTCTGTGTCCGAGGGCGGTTATAAAGATTCAGTGAGGATGATGTAAAACATTTGGTAATGACTGGCATGTCATGCTCATTCAGTGAATGCTTGTTGCTATTTATTATAATTACTAAAATATTTTAAAAATTAGTAAATTTATTAGCATAGGCTTTTTAAGTTTATGATATGTATATTTTTTGAGGTAGCCTCCAGGTACATGACTCAGATCATTTCATTTGCATGTGAGAATTACTTTATGCTTTCATGATAGTTGATATTTTAACTCTTAAGATATTATCTTAAATGTAGCATCCTTTAAGTTAGAGTGTTTATGAAGAGTAGTTGTTCAAAGTGCAGTCAAGATGGTTCCGACTCATATGTATAGGGTTTCAGAGAAGTGGCTTGTGGGTTTGAACCTGCATAGTCCAGCGGTTATCCTACAGCACTACACCAGGACTCCTTATGAAGAGTATAGACTTTGAATTAAGAGTTAGGTTTTAATCCTAGCTGCAGCATTTAATATGTTACTTGTACCTAAAACAGAGTAATTTTCCTTGAAGAGTTTAGACTTTGAAGTAAGAGTTAGGTTTTAATCCTAGCTGCAGCATTTAATATGTTACTTGTACCTAAAACAGAGTCTTTTTCCTTGGCTCTGAAAACGGGACAATGGGACTAGTGCCAATCTCTCAGGAATGTAACGAACCAATGAAATAGTCCAGTTAGTACATTCTATAAATATAGATATATAGTAGATTTTCAATAAATGTTAGCTTTTCTTCAGTTCTTTTAAGTAAAACTGAGATTTTAAGGAATTAAATGTTAGTGTTTAAGAACCAAAACACCAAAACCTCCCTAGTAGAAAGTAAAGTTAGCCAGCTAAGTGTAGAGTAAGGAAGTGTTGGTCTTAATAATATGTACGTAATTGAAAAGTGTGAAGCTATGTGGGAACTTTAGAGATAATTTCACCAAGGACTTAGAGCTAATCTTGGGAGGTTGCTGTATTACTCATTTTATTAATTTTGGTCAGAAAAAATAATGGTATGAGTTCAGCCTGTGAAATTTTAAAAATGGTCTTAATTTGTATGGTTTTTGTATATTGATTTGTTTTTCCAAATATATCCAAACTTGATTGGTCTTTAAGAATGCATGCTTGAGTTTACTCTTAAAATATAAGTAGATATGTGGATTATTTTGGCGGATTAGAAAATAGTGATAAAGAAAGGAGTAGAAAGAGTGAGTTACCAGTCAGTCAGCAAATAGTTATTAAGCAGCTACTATTGAGAGGTACTCTTATAGGCACAGTGACACAAGAGCAAACAATTGCCTTGTAAAAATTTAGAAAATACCTGAATTTAAAATTTTCGCATTGGTGGAGGATAGAAGAACAAAACAGAATCTTAGAATGAAAGGTTCTCAAGAACTTTCCAGTCTCAGGATGGAGATGGCAAACCCATACCTATAGAATAAAATACCTATAAAATGGAGGTGTCCCTGAGAACACTGGAGGGATAAAGAAGGGAAGGTAAAATCCAGCTGGGAGAGTTAGAGACGGCTTCACTGACGAGAAATATGTATACTTAGAGGAAATGAGTGTGACACTGTACAATAAGCACTGGACTACTAACCGCAAAGTTGGGTACTTCAAACCCACTAGCCGCTCCTTGGAAACCCTATACAGGGTCCCTGTGAGTCAGAACTGACTAAATGGCATGTAACAACAACGTAGGAATGGTGCTGTTGTTGTTCTGATTCGTAGTGATCCTCTACTGGTTTTCCGAGCTGTGTCCAGTGGGTGTGAGGAGCCAACCTTGCTGTTAGCAGTCCATTGCTTATCCTCTAGCACCACACATCAGGACCCCTGGAAATAGTGTTAGCCTTGGGATAACTGGAAAAGGTTGTTAAGTTTCTCTCCAAATGTTCATTCTTGCCTTGTTTATTAAGCAAGCCAGTAATTGAAATTACTTTTTGAAAATGTTTTGCTTTTTAAACCTAGTTTATCAAAACTTGTCAATTGTCTTATTTCTAACATCAGAAAGTGCTTTCTACAGATCTAAATTTAGATTTTATAAAATTTAATTTGATGTTTAAAATTCTCAACCTTTATGAAAAACCCTAAATACAGAACTAAGTTCTTATATAAATACTCATTTTGCTTAATTTATTAGTCTCAGCTTCTAAAACAAAATAAAAAACATTTTGTCTTAATTTATTTACTTTTTAAGCTTCTCCTAAAACAAAATGAAGCCATTTTTAAAGTTTGTTATAAAAGGAAATTTACAGAAATGTAATTTTTGTTTCTCTTCATGTTTTGTAGATGTCTATGGCGACATTGAAAATGAATTCTGTATTTTCACCACATACTGTTATATGAGAAGATCCATTTCACAAAGTCTAAATATTTTTTCTGTTGGGCCAGCATGGCAGGATTCAAGCGAGGATATGATGGAAAGATTGCTGGATTATACGATCTGGATAAAACCTTGGGTCGAGGTCATTTTGCAGTGGTTAAACTTGCCAGACATGTTTTTACAGGTGAAAAGGTGGCAGTGAAAGTTATTGACAAGACAAAATTGGATACTCTCGCCACTGGTCATCTTTTCCAGGAAGTGAGATGCATGAAGCTAGTGCAGCATCCTAACATCGTGCGCCTTTACGAAGTTATTGACACTCAGACCAAACTGTATCTTATTTTAGAACTTGGGGATGGAGGCGACATGTTTGATTACATAATGAAACATGAGGAGGGTCTTAATGAAGACTTGGCCAAAAAATACTTTGCTCAGATAGTTCATGCTATATCTTATTGCCATAAACTCCATGTAGTTCACAGAGACTTAAAACCAGAGAATGTGGTTTTCTTTGAAAAGCAAGGTCTTGTAAAGTTGACAGACTTTGGTTTCAGCAACAAATTTCAGCCAGGGAAGAAGCTCACTACAAGTTGTGGATCTCTTGCATATTCTGCTCCAGAAATTCTGCTTGGTGATGAGTATGATGCACCTGCAGTAGGTAGGTAACCTTCTATTATTTGTCTACTAGAATTCTGCCAGCTAGTGTTTAGCTGGTCAAATTGGTTTACTGAAAAATTGTCTGAAATAGTTTGTTATAAGTGTTTTACTAATTAACAAGGTTGGTTTCATGAATGCTAGCAATGAGTCTGGTACAACTTTGAGAAGGTAAATAGTGAGAGTTTATTACCATAAAAGAAATGAGTAAGTTATTATTTAAAGAAATCTCTCATCTACACATTATACTTTTTAGGGTCTGAGCACTTACCTTAGATTTTCTGGTAATGATTGCACCTAGCTATCTCCTTCCTGTGAATTCCTTTGAACAGTTTTTAGAGGCCCATGTTGGAGAAGTATTATCCATGCCATAGGGCCCTTTGAAGTTTGGGAATTGGAATCATTTATTAGCTCTGACATTGATAAGAGTACCTGGCCTCCCTTGACCTTCTTTCTTCATCAGTAAAATAGGATGAAATCTGATACAGGTATTGTACTGCTTTTCACAATGACCTGTGTATTTTGCTGTTGTCATTCTCAGGGTACAAAATAGGAAACACATTCAAGTACCTTCTACATGGTAGATTTTGGGAAAAGCGGCAGCCCTGGACATTCCCAGCCCACTCTCTCCCTCTACTTCTAATAGCCTCTTAGGCTCTCATTTAATTTGTCGTGAGCTTTCTACTTGTGGTGAAGGTGTTTACTGCTTTCCAGCTGTGTCAACTTGGAATTATATCCTTTAATTTATTTTTCATTTTTAAGGCTTTGTCAGTTTGAAAGTGTGGTCAGATTTTACATTGTTAGTTTAATCTGAGAAAAATATGCCCTGATAATGCACATGATGTCAAACTTCATAAATGAGGCGTCTTCCACTTGTGTTCTGATACTTTTGAAGTACAGGATACGTAAGATTGCTGACATACGGAATACCTTGGACTATATGACAATGGCTTTTCATGTTAATTTAGTATGTTCTTGAAAAGGAGGAATTGCTAGTTTCTGCTCACTACTGATAACCATCTTCACTGAAGTCTTTCGTTAGAATAGTTGTGCAAGAGAGTTTTGATTTGTAGAGCAACTGTATAATCAGAAAAGCTAAGAAATTACAGAAGCGGAAACACAAATATCTGCACATGAAAAGATTCTCAACCTCATTGACAATTGGGGAAAGGAAAATTAAAACCACAATACAATACTGTTTCATATTCTTCACATTAGCTAAAACTAAAGCCAGGCAAAGCTAAGTGTTGATAAGACTACAGAACATCAGGAACCTCATACTATTTAGATGACCATTTAATAATGTGCAGTAAAGATGAATACATCCCATGACCCAGCAGTTCTTGTGTGTGCCTTAGATGAGTTCCTACTTGTGTCCACTAGATTTTCAGTAAATGCTTTTTAGCAGTGTTGTTGAATATTCATTAGTGGGAATTGTTCAGTATTTATGGAATTCTATACATTTATTCCCACTAATGTATGTTGTTGTTGTGAAGTGCCGTCGAGTTAGTTCCGACCCATAGCGACCCTGTATAAGGTTTCCAAGGAGTAGCTGGTGAGCGTGAACTGCCGACTTTGCAGTGCAAATGGCTTTGCAGTCTGGCGCATTAACCCACAGCGCCACACAACACCAGAGATGAAGGTAGAGGTGATGGCATGGAGAGACAGAGCAGCTGAGGACTCAAAACTCATGGGAAGAGAAAGGTTGTATGCTGGTGGCCAGGAGGTAGGCTTGTAGAATGTGCCCTTTGGTTTAAATGATTATATATTCCTGCGTGTTTTTGTGTACATCAAAAAAAAAAAAAAAAAAAACCCAGAGGGAATGAATGGTGATGCATGGAGGGGATTGTAATCATTACAGTGAAACAAAATACAATAGGTTGAGTGCAAAACTGATGTTATCCCATGTAAACTGTCACTCAGTTCACAATAAAATCTTTTAAAAAAGCAAAAAAAAAAAAACTGTGTGAAAAGATGTACCCTGATAGGATAAATGATTGATTACCTTGTGTTTGTGAAGTGAGATTAAGCTAAGTTCATGAGCAACTTTCATTTTCTTTATTTGTGTTTATTCCAGTTAATTTTTTGTGATTGAAATAAAATCAGAATTTTTTTCTTTTAAATGGACGGATATCTTTTTTATTTTTTCAACTTTTTATTGTGAATTGAGTTAAGGTTTACAGAGCACATCATCAGTTTTACATTCAGCATATCATATACTTAGCTTCATTCATGGTTGCATGCCCTCTGTACCAACAGTTAACAACATTTACCTCTATTCACTTTATCTACTGCATTGCTACCTTCGTCTTTCCTCTGTTACCCTCCCTCTTGTATATGCCTGCCCTGTAACCCATGTTAACATGTGTTTACCCTTTAGCCTGTGAATAATTTTTACTACCTACATCCCATGACCAACATAGATTGTTTCTTTTATCAAGAAAACCTTTTTCAAAAAAACTATGTACAACATTGATCTCATAAATGTTTGTCATTTTGTGATTCATTCAGCATAATGTCCATCAGGTTCAACCAGGTTGTGAGGTGTTTCAGATTCATTGTTGTTCTTCAACATTTTGTAGTATTCCATTGTGTGTATGTACTGAAGCTTGTTTAGCCATTCTTCTGTTGATGGGTATTTAGGTTGTCACCATCTTTTTGATATGTCTGTTGTATTCTCATCCATTCTGCTGTCTCTTTTCCCTCCTCACTCTGCAACAAAGCACACTCATGAAAGCTTATAACCCAGCCACTGCATGCTTTTGTAGTCATCCTCCCCCTCCCCCTCAATTTTTGATAGCTAGTGTCTAAATTTCACATCCCTATCAATACAGTACACTGAGGAAACAGGGTTGTTCCTTGATATGAAGAATCCTTCCATTTCGGTTGGAATTTTGAGTCACTGCATTCATAGGCAAAAGTCTAATTCGTCAAACTATAGCAATTTGTACTTGTTCTCAGTATCAGGCAACTTTATCTTCCTTGGTTCGAGTTCTGGTCACTAGTTCTTGTCATCTAGTCAACTAGCCATCTAAGCTAGGTCAAATGGATACTAGCTGCAACTTTGGAAGTTTACCCATGCCTCTGCACTTTAGACCAGCTGGCTACTTCAGTTTCAGCCCTAGCCCCCAAGGGCTAGGCCAGTGCCCGTGGGCTCAGAAGCTCACACATCTTTCTAAACTTCAGACCAGCCAGCCCTTCCTCTTCTCTTACTCATCTCAAGGTGAATGCGTGTCAATGGAACATGACCAAACTCATGTCTTCCTTGCTGTATTTCCCCAACTTTCCACTAACAAGTAGACCTATGTGGACCCCAGAGAGCATATTATACTGCTCATGAGTTCCTGTTGAGTTTCCGTCCTAGAAGGGTGCTTTCTCTGATGGGTTGTCTTTTCACATTCCTTGATACCTTCAAAGTAAAAAGCTTGCTTGATATTCAAACAGCCAAACTTCCTGCATTTTTTCTGCAGGTCTTTCTTTCGGTAAGAATCTTCTGTTCTCTCAGCAGTTCTGAATTGGTCTTTATGTCTTTTCAAGTGGAAGTGTTCCAAATCAGAAGGTTCCAAATCAGGATTCCACCTAAGGCCCCATACGCTACAAAGGCTTAATAAGAAGCCTATTTCCCCTTTTAGAAAATCCAACCAGTTATAGGCTGAAGGAGGGCTTACAAGCTTCTGTCATCATAATTCCCAGTATTCATTTCAAGCACATATAAGTGTCTATTTTATAATATTAGACAGGGGAAACAAATACCTTCAGTACAATCAAGCACATAAACATTTTTCCCCTCCTTTACCCATTCAGCGTATATCTCGATCCATGTACCTATTCACAGAACCCTTGATGTAAATCCCTATTTACCTCTATCTCATTTAGCTCTTTTATAATTTGCTATCTTAATTGTTCATCTGCCCCGTTCCCACTCCTTGTATATGTCCTCCCTGTCATCCGAGGTAACCTTCTAGCCAGTGGATTATTCTTCCCCTCCCTTCCACCCATGGTAACCATTAAAGAATGTTACTTTTAGTATGGAAACCTTTTCATAAGCTTTTACAAAAGGGGTCTCAGAAAATCTTTGACCTTTTGTGATTGACTAAAATTTCACTCAGCTTTATGTCTTCCAGGTTCATGCATGTTATGAGGTATATTGTGGATTCATCGTTATTCTTCAAGGTTGCATGGTATTCCATTATATATTTGTACCAAAGGGTGTTTATCAGTTCTTCCATTGTTGGGCATGTAGTCTGTCTGTCTTTTTTTACTATTGTGAATAGTGCTGTGATGACCATTATTGTGCATATGTCTACCTGTGACCTGGCTTGTGTTTCTTATGGATGTATACCAAGTAGAAGGATTGCTGGGTCAAAAAGTATTTCTATTTCCAACTTTCTGAGGAAGCGCCATACCATTTTCCAGAGTGGTTGGACCATTTTGCATGCTGTTAAGTGCTGTCAAGTTAGTTAAACTCATAGCGACCCCATATATAGGGTTTCCAAGGAGCACTTGGTGAGTTTGAACTGCTGATCTTGTGATTTAAACTGACCTTTGGTCAAATGCTTATCCTACAGGGCCACATCAGGAGTCCACAGGGCCAAAAGTCAATCAGTAGTTTTTCACAAATACTTAGCAGAATGAGTGTGGACAAGGATTGAAACCTGTTGTTTTTCAACTTGCCAGATGTTGCTAAAGAAGCTAGCTTGGTTCAGTTTTATAAATAAGAGCTTTATAGTACACTGGTCTTCATATATGACTTAAGCTAGGGAATTATATAGTGTTTTAGTGCTCCTTGGAGGCCAGGATGGCCAAACTTAAGTCTCTCATACTGGAACATATTGTCAGGAGGGACCAGTCGCTGGGGAAGGATATCATGTTTGGTAAGGTGGAGCGTCAGAGAAAAAGAGGAAGACCCCCAATGAGATGGATTGGCAAAGTGGCAGGATCAGTGGGCTCAAGCGAGGCAACGATTGTGAAGTTGGCCCAGGATCAGACATTGTTTTGTTCTGT